AGCCGCCATGTGGGTGCTGGGAATCGAACCCGGGTCCTCTGCAAGAGCAGTCAGTGCTCTTAACTGGTGAGCCATCTCTCCACCAATTTTTAAGCATCGGCCACTTACAGTCTTTGTGATGTTGGTAGGATGAACAGTGATTTTTCCTCTTCCGTTATTGGACGATTGTGAATTGCTTCCCTTTTTTCCCCCTCTGTGTCTGTATAGTTAGGACTTTGCCAGTTTCCTTAGTTTACTGAGACCAACTCAGTTCTCCTTACTGTTCACTTTTCCACCTTTCTGGTTTTTGTTCTTCGTTATTTCACCCGTGCTGTCTCAGGCTTCAGTTCTCTCTGTTGCTCTCAGTCTTCGGTGCAACATTATTTTTCAGCACATTGTTTTGAACATTTATTCTTTTATACTATGTACATTTGAGACAAAATTTTCCTCTAAAGTTGGATTTATCTTTGATTCATGGATTTTTACGTTTCATTTTCCTTAAAACTTAGTTGAATTAATACAATTATACAATATTGTACTCAGTATAAACAGTATAAAGTTTTTAGAATCTCTATTTTTATTTTTTCTTGAACTCATAAACTATTTAGCACAATGTTGAAACTCTTGGAAATTTTGTAGTTAGCTTTTTGTTACTGATTTCTTATTTAATTCTATCAGTGGCAGAAAATAAATTCGATATGCTTTCCAGCCTAGAAATCATCCAGCTTACATTATGGTTCAGAATATGTTCAATCTTAGTAAATGTTCCCTATGCATTTGTAAAGGGTGCACGTTCCAAAAAAGACAATTAGGCCAAGTTCATTAACAACCATGTCATTCAGACCATGTGGCTACTAATACTTTGCCTCTTTGTTTTACCAGTTAGTGAAAGTTATTAAAATTCACGAGTAAAACTGTGAATTTAGTATTTCTGTCTTTGTGCAATCAACTTTCATTTATGCAGTTGGAGACAATAATCCTACAATACACAAGTAGGATTAATTTGACTTCCTATTGAATTAACCATTTATCTTTGTGAAATGTCTTAATCTCAGTAAGATTTCTGACGTTACACTCCATGTGCGCTGACATTCGTATAACACAGAAGCTTTCTTTTGATTAGCGTGTCCATTGGATATCCTTTCATCCATTGGCTTCTAACTCTCCTGTGTCTTCATATTTAAAGTTTGACATTTAGAAAAATCTCCAGTGAATTTCTTTTAATTGACTCAGAAAAATCTTTCTTTTTTAAAATTATTCTATTCAGTCCTTTTTATGTTGAATGAAGCTCCTGACATATTTGGGTTGAAGTTTCTGCCTATTGTTATTATTACCACTATGGGAAAATGTTTAACCTAAACCTTCCTGTTTATTGGCTATTAGTGGTGGTAACAGATGACATTTAGAAGTGAGTGCTAATATACTCATCCTGCAACATATTTCTTTGATCTAGATCTTGACATCTATGTAAGGTACCATTTTTGCTGTTACTCCCTAAAACCAAAGTATCAGAAAAATGTACCCTAAGAATGAATTTGGGTCATTAAACACAGATTTTAAGCCAGGAGTTTGCAAAAAGAATACTCAACCCTTTGACTCTTAAAAAATAGTTAATTGTTGATAAAAAAAATTACCTTGAAAATGTTGCTTATTTAATCTTTCATTCATCCTGTTAAATATTTTAATGAATTTAAATACGTTTAACATATGAATGCTCTAATATATAAAAATAATTTATTAACAAATTAAGTCTTCATATATTGCAGTATAATACTAAAGACTGGGGGCCTGGAGAGGTGGCTCAGCATTGTCTGATCTTGCAGAGGACCTAGGTTTGATTCCCTGAACCCACAGGTGGCTAACAACTATCCATAACTTCAGTTTCAGGGGAATCCAATGCCCTCTTCTGATCTCTCTGGGCATTGCACAACATGGGTGCACAAACACACATACAGGCAATACACTCATATACATAAAATAAAAATAATAAAAGATAAAGTGCTTAATTTCAAAAGATTTTATTAGGTTTTGAGATCAGTTGATTTGAATTGCTCATGTGATAAAGTCGAAGCGTGAAAGGAGACTTAAGTCATAATCCAATCCAGTCTAGATTTTACAGAGGAAAAACTGAAACCCTAAGAAACTAAATGACTTCCCCACAATCACAGATCACATATCCCATCCAAAGCCCAATTGGAATTCAGACTCAGACTATGAACTCCTGGGAAATGCCCTTTGCATCCTCAGGGCTCTCTCCCTACTCTCCCTTATTACCATAGATACACTTTACCCCATTAATCTAGTAGTTTTAAAAGGCATTTCATTTTCCCAGAAGCCCTGAATTTCAGTTTTACTTTTGTAGAAGTATTTAGAATGACACTTATGCTTACACTGACATTCCTGTGCTAAAGGACAGATAGTTTGAACAACAATGAATATTTGTGCATTGAAACTCAACTGGCCTTAGAAAAGTTGGTATCCATGCCCCAAGGCTCTTCTGTAGACGTTGGTGAATGAATGATTTTCCGAAGACTAAAGACAGAAGTAAGCTGTCTTATAACATTTTCCTTGCATAATTGCTGATAAGAACATGCTTTCATCTTTATTGTAGGTTAT